TTGTAAAAAGACCATCCTCATTAAGACATCTTTACTCTCAATGCACATCTCAACTCAAGAAGAGGGAAAGCATGGCAGCCAAGAGAAGGAAAGGATGTCAAGAGCCCATCTGAGAAAATGGAAACTCACCCGACTTTGGTCTCTGCTATGTTCTCTGGGATTGGAGTTACCTAGTTTATAAGATGCTACCACTCTCAAGCTATAGTTTTTCTACAAAAAGCAGGAACGTAGACCCTGTTCTGATTACTGAGCCTTTGTTGCTAGTTTTTTGATTGTTGGATTCTTTTCCCTAGTTTATGTTTCAGATATGAATAAAAGTCCATGGATGGAATTTGGTAACATTCCACATTGCCATAAACAACGTGGTCAAGTCTGAGTTCTCCTGGGGCTGTTAATCTGAAGTTTCATTTCCTAGGGGCCCCACACACTCTTTGCTGCTCAAACGGTCGTTCCTACGGCTCCCTTCTTTACAAGTGTCTCATGATCTGTTCCTGCAGTCTTCGGGGACTCTATCCTTTGCATTCTCAGCTGATGTGAATGGTTTTATGGACGAGACCTGGGCAACCTGGGCCCCCTGCACTCCAAGCCTTCCGGGCAGTGGTGTGGAGAAGCCATGGCATTGTGCACGAAATGGCTGTTGTCCAGTTTGGGGATATGCAGGGGGCTCTATATCTGGTGAGCTGTCACCGAATCACAGTCTCCTACAAAAGTGGACAGAGCCGGTGGCCTGGGCTGGAAAGGTGTGGACAGGTGATTCTAATCGTCATGTTCCTATAAATCATTGTGTTCCTCAGGCTTAAGTGGAGAGTCTAGGGGTGAAGGAAATTGAAGGGAAGGAAATGAAAGGAAAAGACTGAACTTGGTGTCTAAGATACATCATTTTAGATTGGTTCTTGTGAGTACAGCTTCCGAGACTTCCTGGCGAGCTTGAGAAGTGCAGGGAGCTGGATGGAAGCTGGGCAAGGTGTCTGCAAAGCTCTGCTGGTCCTCTAGGGCTAGAGGGAGGTTATTTTAGGATCAGAAATGTGTGCTTTGGAAATGTGCCTATTTTTTCAGTTTGGATTTTCAACAAGTGTTTTTTATGTTCTCCCTTATTTAGTCAAGTGTTTTTAAGGTTAGTGATAAACCACAAGAACGAAATCAGAAGCGGCACGGGTACACACATTCACAAGTATCAAAATAAAATTACCTAACTTTCAACCGGGTCAAGGGGAACTAAAGAATGTGGGGTGTCTATTCTTGAGTCACAACTTCAAGGGGAATTAACGTGCGGGAAATTTAAGGGGACTCCCCTTCTGGAGTGACTTCCTGGGAACTGTCATTTTCTGCTAAAATCTTGGAAGGTTTGTGTTTTACTCATAAGGGAGGCTGTTTCCCATGAGGATATACGTTGTTTAACTTAACACATACAATACTAAAATTATGTTTTAAAACTGCTTAATAGAGCTAGAAAAATTGAATATGTAAGGAAATTTTACTTCACATTATCCAAGAAGAATTTCCTAGGTTATTGTATGTATAAACCAAGTTTTGGTGTGTTGTTTGCTAAAGAAAGGTGGAAGAGAGTTAAATGTTTTATCATCTGAAAAATCTTAATAGTAGGTTTCAACTTGTTTCTATTTTACTTTTTGCTTTTTCCTAAAATAAACTTGACTTGCTTGGTTTATTAAAAGAAATTTTGTTTGTGTAACTACTTGTCAGACATGAAATGGGCAGAACCATGGCGCTTTATTTGTAGTTTTGCAGGAAAGATCTCAGTAATAATATTACTAACATACTAAAAACGTTTCCCCAAGATGTCTGACTTTTAAAACTAATTTATAATCAGAATCTGCAATGTGCAATTTTAATTTAAAGCGTGAACAACAGTATCACCCTAGAGCCAATGATTACTCCAGTCACTGTCTTAGGAGAGACCTCCCTCCTTCTTTCTACTCCACTCCCAGCCCTAAGAATTCCAAGCAGCACCTTTACTGTGCATTATTATGATTTATAGGAATGACTTTTTTTTCTTTTGATGAGGAAGATTGGTCCTGAGCTAATATCTGTTGCCAATCTTCCTCTGTCTTGCATGTGGGATGCCACCACAGCATGGCTTGATGAGTGGAGTAGGTCTGCACCCAGAATCTGAACCTGTGAATCCTGGGCTGCCAAAGGTGAGTATGTGAACTAACCATTACGCCACTGGGCCCCTACAGGAACGGTTTATAATGTACACTACTCTTTTTCAAAAAGGATCTGCATGACTGCTTTTTTCGTAGAAGCTTTCAACAAAAGCTAAATAATGAATAATAAGAAATGCTTCTGTTTCTGGGAAGGGTAGCAGTGGGCGGAAGGAGGAAGAGAAGAGGCCTCAGAGAGGGGGAGAGCACTGTGTGGCCGCCCCTTGCGCTGCCTGAGCTCCTGAAGGACTGCGTGGCACTTGGTTTCCTGGGGAGAGGCTTCGAGGGGCCTCCCCTCCAGGAACCCACAGTTCCGAGGAAAAGCGAGACAAGTACACAAACAACTGGAGTTCTAAATAAGTCAGCAACTGAGTAATTTTAAAAGCGTTATAGGCTATTTTTAAAAGAAATACAGCTGTAGTATTGTCAAGTACGTAGAGCAAATTGAATTAACTGCCAAGAAATATTATCAAATTTTAGTTACTGAGGAAGACTCAAGTTTTTGCTGAAATGTTAGGCTTTTTTGACCTTTAAATCATGTTAACATGTTCCAACTAGTTAAAAAAATCTTAAATTTGGGTTACAAAAATTTTTAGTTTTCTGATAATCGGCTGGTTTTGGGCACATGCCATGGGAAAAGGAAGAACAGAGAGGTTTCCTTGGAATCAGACCATTGTGGTTGGCTTTCTCCGGGGCTGAGAGTCCTCAGGGACACACAAAGGGCTCAGGGGAACCTGAAAAGCAGCAGTTACAAAGCAGTCCCTGGGTGCTCCCTTGAAGGGAGAGCTGAGACGTCTCCAGTGAACTGGTCACCGGTCCAAGTGTTGACACCCCATTCAGCTTACCAACATTTGTGTAAAGCCCAGCGAGCTGAAGAAAATCAAATCTGATTTTAAAGCAGCAAAAAGAATGACATAGTTAAAATATAAATGTCTTCCTTGAAAACTTGGTCATTGCTGGAGAGGAGACTATCAGACTGCTGAGAGATGAATTCTCTCAGGTTGATAATTGAACCCTGAGGTGTGTGTGCATCTGGAGCAGCGTAGATATGTGGTTACGTGGCTCAGAGCGCCTCACTTCAATGCCTCCCAGAGCCAGAGGCTGAGACCTGCCCCAGCCGATGGCAGAGGGGAGAGAACTCACCCGGGTGAGGGTGGGTGTTGGTCACAAGTGGGAGCAATTGGCTGAAGAGAACAGCTACTTCTATCTCTGCTACTGAGCCTCTGGATTCTGTCAAGTATATTTATGACCCTGGAAAAGACTAGATTTTAATTTCTTGGCAAAACGTCTGCACAGAAATCTCTTTTACAATATCTAGTAAAAGATCCTACTTTGTAAACACACAGTCTGCAGGGTTTAAAAGCCACGGGGTATTAAATCACATATGCCTCCTTAAGCCTCCAGAGAGGAAAAGATTCTTCATGAAAAGAGAACTCCACAGCAGCCAGCAGGAAGGGGGCTCTGCTTAAGGTCTCTGGTCTGTCTTCTCTCCTTTTGTGTTCTCACTGACTCTGAGAGACACTAAGTGATGCCACTTAGAAAATAGAGCAACACCCTCCAGCCCACCTCTGGTTCCTGCTAAATTCTGGGCACAACAGGCCCCTCTTATCTTTCTTCCTGTCTGGTGTCAACACAACACCGTAATGTCAGCACCGTGAGGTCACTGAGAACACCGATGGGCGTCAGTGAGGAGAAGCATCACTCAAGACCAGTTCCCTGTAAAAGCCAGGCCAGGGACCCAGCATGAGTGGGCTCCTGGCACATGGCACCAACAGAACTGACAGGAACAAAACTCGGAGCTCCTGAACCAGTGACGTCTCATGTGAGAAGTGCTCTAACAAGGAGGGATGTTCTGCACAGTGACAGATGCCTCCCAGCCGTGGCCACACTTCAGGATGGGGCACCGAATGCGATGGCATTTGATGCAGGTTTGTCATCTGTTTTGTTCAAAGGGAAAAGCATTGGGTAGAAAAATCCCCAAATTGATTTTTTTTGTCTTCTAGGTGTAGGTATCTGGTATGTGGTGACATGCTACATGTTACAGGCAGTCTCCTGAGCGAGACCTAATTCAGGTTCTGCTGCGCTAAAAAGGATTTAAGTGTTCATAGTTTAAGCCCCACCTTGATAAGGAAAAAAGTTATTCATTACTCAGTTATGCTAACCCTATAATTTCTAACCCAGAGCAAGGATGGTGAGTTTATGGCACATACATAACTCTCTGGTTTGGGACGTGTGTGGAACATTGTTAATGGATCAGGTGTTCCACAGGCCTTCAGGACTCTTCCCAGCAGAGCACCACAGGCGGCTGTCCCCCAGGAGCCTCCTCATCGGGATACAGGAGTGCGTCACGGCACCAGGTGCAGGAGTGCATCATGGCACCAGGTGCAGGAGAGCGGGAAGGCCTCCACTCTGTCAAGAAGCAGAAGGCTAAGCTTTTCTCCACCTTTCACCTCTGAGCATTTGTGGAAGGCAGAACAATGGCCCCAAAGATATCCTAATTCCTGGAACCTGTGAAAATACTACTTTACAAGGCAAAAGGGACTTTGCTGACATGATTAAGTTAAAGATGTTGAAATGAGGAGATTATCCTGGACTATCAGGTGGGTCCAGTGTAATCACAAGGGTCCTTAAAAGAGGGAGGCAGAAAGGTCGGAGTTGAGGAGATGTGACAATGCAAGCAGAGGTTGTAGAGGAGCGACCATGAGCCAAGAAACGGAGGTGGCCTCTGGAAGGTGGGAAAGAAAGAAAACGAAATTCCCCTGGAGCCTCCAGAAGGGACGTGGCCCTGCTGACCCATTCCAGGCTTCTGACCTCAAGAATTGCACAATAAGACACTTACTCGCATAATCACTAAGTTTATGGTAATTTGTTACAGCATCAGTAGGAAATTTATGCAGCGTTTACTTCATTTGTCTCTCTCTACTGGCTGAGAGACTGGCTGTTTCTTTCCGCTCCTCAGTTGATGTGGGAAACACAGCCTCCCCAAAGCGCCCAAGCTTCCACGTTGCAGGTTCTGCCACACGGAGGTGCCGACTCAACTCTCTTCTTCCATTTCCAAATTCCAGAAAGAGAATGGGACCAGGTCAGCTTGTGTCAGGGGTTCCCCCTTTGCTGGCCAGCCAAAACCAGGGTGTGGGGTCACACAGCATAAGCTGCCAGGAACCCACCCCTGTGGAAGGACTGAGTGGATCCCAGAGATGAGGGGAGCACAGACCTCTCAGCACGTGTCTACCATGTTGTTCATGCCTTCATTCATTGACTTCCTACGTTTCAAATGTTACTCTATAAGTTCAATGGATTGGACATTGTAGATCAATCACATAATGGACCCATTGTTTCATGCCTCTATATATTTATACCTTTTGGTCATGCACCTCTAACCTAATCTGACCTCGGCCACATGCCTTGCTTTGGCCAGTGGGACAATAGCAAATCTGATGCAAATGGTCTTGTAAAAGCACTTGCACATGTCTGCTGCTTCTCTCAGGCCTTTATCCCTGTCTTAAGAGCAGGCCCAGGCCAGCCTACTGGAGAATGAAAGACCCTGTAGCTCAGAGCCAAGTCATCCCAGCTGAGGCCATCCTAGACCAGCCAGTCCCCAGCTGACCTGAGAGTTGACCACAGATGCATAAGTGAACCCCACCAGCCCGGCTCACGCTGGTACAGTTGCTGAGCCACCCCCTAGACTCATGAGCAAGAATAGATGCTAACTGTTGAAAGCCACTCAGGTTTTGTGGTTGTTTGTTACACGGCATTATTGTGGCAATAGATCATTGATCCAGGGAATGTGATGTTCAAATATAATTCTATTTCCTTAATTCAATTGCCCTCAAGGCTGATCCTAATTATCCTAGATGAAAACTGGCTTTCAGCGTCTCAGCCAGAGATCAGACCTGCAGCATCAGAAGGAGAGGAAGGCGGATTAATGTGTTCTTGCCAGTCTCCCATGGCTCCAGCCCTCTGGTGCTCTGCCAAGTGCTCTCACACAGCCTCACTCAGTAAAGCCTTGTAAACGCTGGGTGAGGCAGGTTTGTTGATAGACGAGGAAATTGAAACTCAGTGAGAGTCAAGCAATTTGCTCAAAGTTGTTTCCATACTACATCCGTGAATTCAGATTTGATCCCAGGTCTGTCTGTTGCAGAGCTGCCCTTCAGTCTCCAGAATGTAGATGTAGCAAATGAAAATACAGGACGTTCAGCTAAATTTGAAGTTCAAATAAAAAACTATTTGTTACTGATCTGAAATTCAAATTAATTGGCACCCTGCATTTTATCTGGCAACCCCACCAACGTGAAGCTTCCTTGTTGGGAGGAGTGATCTGCGTGTTGTAGTGTGGCAGGTCTCATTCCGCTCTGATAAGAATACGTTTGAGAATCACTGATTGTTGCACCTGCACAGGAAGTCGCTGGCTCTCTGGGGGCTGAGGCTCTGCTCTCAGTCCCAAGTCCCACATCCTCCGTGAGGTCTGTGACCTCAGACGCCTCTGGTCCTGTGCTCTTTGGATGCTTTCTCAGCCGCAGAGTGGGGGCAGCCAGGCCCCTTGCTGACTCTTTTCTAGGCTGCTATAAAGAGGAGTGGAAAGTATGTAAATCACTGGGTGTATGTTGGTGGTTGTCAATGAACTAAAAAATCTGAAGATCCAGGATTTTTTCTGCCTATGCATAAGAAATTAAGGACAGGTCAGAGGAAACGAATAGTAATGCTTATCATGTGCTAGGAATTTCTCAAAACATTTAAGATTATTTAATCCACACAGAGGCTCTGCGAGGCAACTGCTCCTATCATCGATTTGTTTAACAGAGGAGGAAATACCCGGGCTCAGTCAGTAACCCTAGTTTCACAGCCAGTAGTGGCCGTGCTGCATCTCAAGCCCAGGCTGCCTCCAGCTGGAGGTCAGATGTCCCACCATTATGCCACGCTGCCTCTTAGCAAGCGGCTACTGATTTCTGGGGTGAGCCAGGCATTGCCCCAGGATACGGTAGTGAATACAGCTTTTGCCCTTACGAATCATGCGTTCTGGTGAGGAGAGGTGGGAAACAGAGGCAAAAAAAAGTTCAGCTGTCCTAAGGGCCACGAAGGCGATAAAGCAGAGTCCTGTCATGGAGAGTGTCTGGGAGAGGCAGCTGCATTAGAACGAGAACCGCCTTCTGAGGAAGTGACATTTGAGCTGAGGTCCTCTAAGAAAAAGGAGGTAGCCCTGCAGGATTCGAGGAAGAGCCACGCCAGGAAGAGGGCATGCTCTGCGGGAAGGCGGGGGAAGCAGAAGCCCAGGGGCCGAGCGAAGGAGAGGGAAAGGAGAGGCGCCCCAGGGGAGACTGCGCTCCCAGCGGGAGGAAAGAGCAGCGGGGCTCTAAGCACGGGGCACGCGATCTGAGTCGCCGCCAGGGTCACTGCGGGGGCTGCGGGAAGACACCGTGAGCACGAGCACGAGCGGGGTGGTCGGTGGCAGCGGAGGGAGGAGGCCCATGTAGGAGGCCGCGGCAGCTGCTCCCGGGGGATGTGGCTCTGGAAGAGGCGGCGGCCTGCGAGGATTGTGGTGTGTTTCCGGGGCGCCGATTAATAACGAGCGGCGTCTGGGAAGGAGCGCGGTTGGGGTGGAAGAACAGACTTCTGCTTTGACCTTGTTAAACCTGAGGTGCTTAGGAGACCCCAAAAGGGACTGCTGGGATTGGCTGAACCGCCAGGTTCTGCCTCCTTTGTCCCTGTGTCCCCTCTCGCTGTTGCTCCATGTAAACCCAGAAACAGAACTGAGCGTGTCTCTTAGATCCTAAACTAGAATTCTCTCATGCAGAAAAGTGTTAAGGAGCAATGTGAGCTGAAGACTTGGTTCAGGAGAAGGGGAGGCATTTTACGTCGTGAATCCCGTGGCGAGCAGCTTGAGCACTAACTAGCCCATTGTTTGCCAACGCCCTTCCCTGCCCTGGCGCCGGCTGCACAGGAGCGCTCTGACCTTCTCTGCGCAGCACCCCCGCTGTCGCGGGCGCTTCTGTTGTCCAGATGCATTTCTGCTCTGCGCTGACCTCCGTCGGATTGCAGATCCCCTCTCTGCTGTGACGCGAGGCCCGCGGCCTGCCCCGATGGTCTCAGCCAGACTTACACACCCAGACCCACCAGGCTGCCTGGCAAGGCGCGGCTGCCTTTGGACCGAGTCTCATCCGCCTAAAGTTCAGAAGCTAAGGGTTATAAATGAAAGTAGGTGTTTCCTGTTGTGTGTGTATGTAGACACTAAAGATTAATACCTTGGTTCTTGTCCTTCCGTATAAAGAACTGTTCTTTAGAGATTAATGGGTAATTGTGTAAGAGCATAGCGAGGCCATCGTGTTACGCTAAAGGGCGCCAGCCCCACCTCTGTTTGACTACTCGCTACTCTACACGTACTGTAAAAAATTCACGTGCTTTCCTGATTTATGGCCTCCACTTATGTGCTCCCTGATAGCTTGATAAATTAAAACTTTGTTCTATGAGTTTCTCTCCAGGAACAGGCTGACCACAGGGAAACACACCTACAAGGCATCCATCACAGCTGACAGAAGAATGGAACAATCAAAGGCCCTGGAGTCTGTCACGCCTGAAGGAAACCCTCTTCTTACTGCCCATTTTCCCTGCGTAACTGGCTCAAGATTCTGTAATCCTTGAAGATGGGTTTTTGAGACATTAGTCTGCCATCATCTCGATTATGCTGGCTAATCTAACTAAACTTCCTTTCTGGATCCTAACTCATGACTGATGGGCTCAAATCGTTGTGAAGAGAGCGAGTCCACTGCTCGCTGTCAGCGGTTCATGAACTATTTATCATTACAGATTTTAGTGTGAGTTGTCTTTTTCCAAAATCACAATCACTGTACTTATCTCTTAATGTGTAAAAGGACAGTTGTCTTGACTGAGGAGGATTGGAGTCCTAGTCTTTTAGTTCTTTTTTGTTGCTGTTGTCTTCTCGTTCGGTCACCCAAGACCAGAGGGGAGACATGCTTCTTGTGTCCTGGTTGGTTGACGCAGCCCGTAACCCATGTGGCCATCTTCAGGGTGCACTATGCTCTCAGGTGCTGACTAGGTGCTAAATAAGTGGGACTAAGTTCTTCCCCCACCACGTGTATATTCCAACTGGGAAGGTTGTATTCTAGAAAATTTTGAATGATGAGATGTAGGAAAAGGATTATGAATTGTATTGTGTACTCTGCTTAAGGAGTGAGTACCCTCTCCTTGTTTCAGAAAGCTTGTGTGCAATAGCAGGCAGCAATCAGACCAAACAGAAGTCCTATCTTAGTGTAGCATTGCTGACACACAATATTTATAAAATTGTGATGATTCTTAGGAACAGAATTCCCTGCTTTATTTCCTGTGGTAAGGTTAAAAAAACCCCAAGAACACTAAGTCTGGGCTTCTGCCAGCAAGCCCTGCATTAGGAAGGAGTGTTTATTAGTTGGAAAAAGTAGCATGTAAATTAAGCATTCCTGCGTGCTGAGCAGGCGGGCGATCTGGATGCAGCACGTCAAGAAGGATCTGAACTGTGAGGCCCTGGACTTCTCAGCCCCTTTGTCGAGCAGCCAGCATTTCCAAATGCTATTTGAATGTAAACTCAGAACATACAGCCCAGAAGTCAACAGCAGATCGTCTGTCAAATGAGTGGTGATAACAGTTTCCATTTGTTACCCTTCAGGAAACGTGAGCTGGTGTCAGGAAACAGCCTCAAAAGTAGACGGGTTGGAAATCACAGCAGTAATTATAATAGCGAAAGTAAACTAAGTACTGTGTTTAGCCAACCAATAGCATTATGTCTTATATCAGGTTTAAGTCAATAAGCAAATAAACGAGCCCAGGATCTATGAAAAGTATTGGGTGAGTCAGGAGCCGGTGATAGAGTTTTTGTTCTGGATTTGTCACTTGACTGCCTTCTCTGGAAGAGCAACAGGACGTGCCTGTTGTCAGCCGCAGCACACATTGTCCTGGGCCACCATGCGAGTCTCTGGGCTTTGCCCTGTCCAGGCATCTCTGACGAGGGAGTGTCACCGAAGTTGTGGCTGTGAGGTCTCTGCTCCAAAGAAACACAACGTGGCTGTGTCCATCGCATGGAGCATCTCTCTTTCTGTCTCACTCCCAAACATACCCCAAAGACCTAGTCAATTTTCTCGCCATAGCAAAATTTAGACATTTATGTATTCAGTCTTTGCAAAGTTGCTTCTTACTTTATTTCTCCACATTAATAGACTATTGGTTATTTTATTCCAAAAAATTTCAGACTCACAGAAAGCGAGGAAAGTAATAACAAAGATGTGGGTGCCTGCTCTTCAGAGTTAACACATATAAACAATGTGTTTTATTCGGGTGAGTGTTTTAAAGACATAAGAATGAGAGCCAGTGTCCCTTGGTGCCACCCCTTCCCCTCCTTCCACTCCTGAGACAGACACCCCTGGGAAGTCGCTGGGCAGCCTTTGCTTCTAAGGTTCTGTACTTTACCGCAGATGCCTGCAGTGACGACATTTGGTTCACTTCTGCGTTTTAAAATTTTACACAAGTAACAATTTAACCTGTAAATCAGTCCAAAACTTGTCTTTTTTTCACTCAACATTGTTTTTGAGATCTATCCGTAGGAAGCATTTAGATCTAGTTTATCCATTCGTTCTGGCTGCTGTGGGACTATTCCCAAATATGTTTATCCACACATTTAAAGTTCTTTCCTCTCCCGTCCTTTTGGCGATAGCAAACAAAGCGATTATGGGCGTTTATGTTCACATCTCCTTGTGATCCCGGGAACACTTTTTCATACTGTTTTGGCCTTGCAGATTCTCTGTCCTATGAATCGCCTGATCGTGTCCTTGTCTACTTCTCCACTGTGTTGTTTGCGTTTTCTTACAGATCGTTTCTTTTTTATATTCTTGATATGATGCTTTTTGGCTGCATGGGTGGCAAAGGTCTTTTAGAGTTTGTGATTTGTCTTTTTACATTGTTTATGGCGTCTTTTATTGTGTAGATTTTTTGCATTTTAATGTACACAATTTATTATTTGTACTTTTCAGGTTTGTTTAAGAAATCTTTCTCTTTTTGAAATCATAAAATTATTTGCCTGTATTTTCATATTTTGAGGAAAATATGAAAACTTTAGGCCCATACAGTTTATCTGGAATTTACTTTTATATATATGGTAAGGTAGGGGTCTAGTTATTTTTTTTCTCTACATGGATAGCCAATTGTCTTAACAATGTTTATTGACTTTCTCTCCTAATCGGTAACACCACCTCTGTCGTATGCCAAGTTCTCATATATAATAGCCCTGTTCTGGCTTCTGTTTGTACCTCTCCCTGTACCACCCAATTTTAATTACTACAGCTTTATTATAAGTCTCAGTATGTAGTATGGCAAGTGCTCTCTCCTGGTTCTTCTTAAAATTGCCCTGCTGTGGTGGATAAAACAATCTCCCCACAAAATGTCCATGTCTGAATCCCTGGAACCCTCTTATCTTACGTGGCAAAAGGGATTTTGCAGAGGTGATTAAGTTAACACTCGAGGTGGAGAGATATCCCGTATTATCCAGGTGGACCCAAAGTAGTCACAAGGTCCTTTGACAGGAAGGCAGGAGGGTCAGTGTTAGAGTAGATGATGACAGAAGCACAGGTCAGAGGTGGCCATGAGCCGAGGAATGCAGGTGCCTCTAGAAACTGGGCAAGTCAAGAGAGGATTCTCCCGTCTCCAGAAGGAACGCAGCCCCGTTGACACCTTGATCTTAGCCCTGTAAGTCTCATTTTGAACTTCTGACCTCCAGAACAGTAGGGTATTAACTTTGTGTTGTTTTAAGTCTCTAAGTTTGTGGTAATTTATTACAGGAAACTATTACGCTAGATTGCTCTTGCTCTTTACTCTTCCACATGAATTTTAGAATAATTTTATTAAGTTCCACACACATCCACAAATTCCACAGAAAGTATTGATTGGAACTGTATGGAATTCATAGATAAATTGGTGGAAAGTGATATCTGTAGCTTATTAAGTCTTCTCATTCATGAGCATAATATACCTGTACACTTAGTCAGTCTTTTAATTAAGTACAGTCATGTGCCGCCTAATAATCCTTTGGTCAACGACAGACCACATATACGACGGTGGTCCCATAAGATTAGTGCCATGTAGCCTAGGTGTGTGGTAGGCTGTCCCATCTGGGTTTGTGTAAGTCACTCTGTGATGTTCACCCAACAACGAAATTGCCTAATGACACATTTCTCAGAATGCGTCCCAGTCATTAAGAGACAGACAACTGTATTCTAATTATCTCCATAAAGGTCTTCCACATCTTTTGATTGATAGATTTATTCTGAGGTACTTTGTAGTTTTTATTTTTCATGGAACAGAATTTTTTTAATTACATTTTCTCATTTGTCATTGTCTGTATATAGCAACACTATAGGTTTTTCCAAATTGATCTTTTTTCCAGCAAACTTGCTCAACTTTAAAAAAATTTTCTCCTAATTTGCCTAAAGTGCGTATTGGATTTTCCATATAGACAATGGTGATTAACAAACGGTGTGTCTTCCCTTCTAGTCCTCGCCCTCTGCTCTCTGTGCCTTGTCTAAGTGCAGTGGGTAAGCTTCCAGGCCAGTAGAACAGGCAGTGATGGTGTTCCCTTCTCGTTCTGGTCAGCCGGCTTTGTAGTTCTACATGTTCTTTCCTGTTTTGAACAATGAAACAACCTGTACTGTTCAAGCCATGGGGACCAGCTACCTCTTTTACACGGTCAGTTCCACAAAGATCTTTCTACAATGATCCTCCATCTCTGTGCCATCTGTTTGCCTTTGTCCAAAAGACAGCCTCCTTTGGAAAGTTGGTGGGCTTTCCGTTACAAACCCTGTTTATGGTATGAAATTAAGAAAATCCCCAAAGGGAGCAATAAGCCAAATAAATTTTAATAGTAGCACTATGTTTTTTTCTGGGATCTCTTTAATCAGCCTAGGATGTCCAGCATAGATGTCTAGGATACATTTACAGGGCTCCCACCGCATCCTCGATGATGGGAGTGCCCTGCAGAAGACCTGGTGGACTCTGGAGCCGCACAGGAACCTGGCCCGGGAGTCCCACAGCTGAATAAGGAAATCCAGCCCCTGTTTGAGGTGCAGTGGGGCCAACCGCCATCTCAGGGAGATCTGGGAGGAGGTGGAAACTGGGGACTCAGCCACTGCCCTCCCACACCAACAAAGTGAGCTAGCAAATCCACAGCAACATGCATGCGTGGCAATCGGTGCCTGACCTAACACCGACCTTCTAAGCATAAACATGGCTGCTGCTTCGCTTCTGCCTCCCAAATCTGGTAAAAATTTCTCCTGTGGCCAACCTGTGCCCAAAACCATGCAGAGAAGGGAACTCTGGGAAACACGGTTCTAGCTTAACTACATTGACAATAAAAAGCTACCACAGTTATTGTCTCTTAGATGGAAAGCGTCTTATGTATATCACATCCTCTTGACTGTATACAGAATACCTTCGCTTAGCCAAATTTTAAAATTTTTAATAAAAGTCTATTAAGGCTTAATTTGAAAAATCTATCTTTTGTTCCAACATTGGACATCGTCCTTCACATTTCCCAGAGGCCCTCATGGGTAGCAGTTGAATTTTTCTTTCCTTATTCACGTTAGATAACAAATGTACCACATCATCAGCACGAGAGACAGGCAAAACATTTAATTAACTAACTAAAACAGTGTGTATACACATAATTATACACGATTGTGTTACATGTGTGATTTGCCACTGTAGCTTTCCTCATATCCTTTTTGGAAGTGCATGGGATAAAAAAACAAAACAGGATATTTCCATGACTACGTTTGATTTTCACGAGACTTTCCAAAGCAACGTCCAAAGAAGAATCCTCTGACTCAACACTTTCATTTCCAGAGAGGAGTCCTCGAGTGGACACTTCCTGTTTCCTGTTGTTTCATTTCCAGAGAGGAGTCCTCGAGTGGACACTTCCTGTTTCCCGTTGTTTCATTTCCAGAGAGGAGTCCTCTCCGTGGGCACTTCCTGTTTCTCGTTGTTTGGACACAAGATGGACGGTCATAGTGGCCTCTTCCCAGGGAAGTACGACTTCTCCTCTAAGGTGCATTTGCTAATTTCTCTTTTGTTTCTTTTTCAATCAAGGCTGGATGCCTGTGTCAATACTGATTCTTGGTCGGGATTTTTCACTCAAAACAGTCCGAACACAAAACAAAGTTTTTGGACAAAGATTTGAAGTGAGAGTCTAACAAAAGGTGTGGAATATGATATGTGGACTAGTGTATTATTTATGTCACTATTTTGAGATCTTATCTTGAATTCTTAGGAACCTCAAACTACAGCTTGTAGTGTTAGTCCTTGGGGTACTGTTTTTTGCATAATAAATGCAAAATGATACTAGTTTTATTTTATGGTTTACCTGGAGAAATTTCATGTAAAATAATGTATCTAAGTATAAACCATTATTTCTGAGATATAAATTATACTCTCGAAATCTTCCCAGAATCTCTAATTTTGTAAATGACCAAACCGGGCTTCCTTAAAGTTCTTGCTGAATTAAAAGATGATACGGTAGGTTCACAGAAGTACATCTGACCAAATCCATGTTAAGTGTTTTTTGCTTTTTCTTAAAAGTTGGGTACTGTTGGTAAGATGATTTGCAGGGGGTAAAACAACCAGTCTGAGGTGTATTTTTCTATCTGTAAAGTAATTTCTTTGGCATATTTGGATCATGGTACAATTTGGTGAGATGCATATTATATCATCATAATTTGGGATCTCAGAAGGGTACAGCTGATATGGGCATGGAATGAATTTCCTTTTTAATAAATTAAAAGAAAACATTTAAAAGATATGCCTTCAAGGGTAAGTAGAATTTTAATATAAAAGCAAGGGGCTGAGTTAGTTTGTAGTTACTTGAATCAGTTTAGCCAAGGTTTACAAATGTGTTATTCATCATAATGTTAAATTAGTTTGATTTTCTGAATGTCATGGAGGAAGAGCAGGTCAGCAATACCTCCCTCGGAGACTTAAAAATGGATGGGCGTGTCCCAGGACAGGGACACAGAGGCACTGCAGAACGAGGGCAGCACGAGCCAAGGCGTGGAGATGGGAAACGGGCAGTTTCTCAGCCCTGAGATGAGGGGAGGGAGTGGGCAGCCCTGGCCCCCTTGTCTATAAAGCTTGGATCTTACCCTGGGGTGATGGGCAGCCAATGATGGAGGGAAACTGAGGACTTAGGAATGAGTTGGTTCAGGACAATAATCACAGGGTAGACTCCTAGGTCCTATAGGTTTAATGTTATAGAGTGGGGTTCTATTCATGGAAACCCATTCATAAGAAGAAAAACCCCAATCATGAAAATAAACAGCAAAGGAATAAAACAAACATACATTTTTACAAATGCGTGTTAAGAGCTATGCCATGGAGGCTACCTTTTGTTTTGCATGAACTGCACTGAAGTTGGCTTCCTTTCCTTGTCAGTCTCCCTGTAGCAAACATGTGAATATTTTATTTTTCCAAAGACCTTTGACTTCAATTAAGAATTATGGTCATTTGTCTCTAAACTGCTACCTGACAATTAGACTCATTCATTTGTTCATTTAATAAATATCTATGGAACACCTACTATATAAGATATTGTTCTAATGGTAAACAAAAAAGACAAAGACCCTCCATCATGGAGATGTCTTTTTCTACTTGGAGAGAAAGAAATAAGATACACAGTCACCCCTACACAGACTCACTCACACACACACACACACACACACACACGCTGGGTTGTGAGAAGGATGGTGATATTTTACAGAGTTATTTTATATAAGTCAGGGAAGGCTTCTTGTGGAGGTGACATTCAAGCAGAGACCTGAATGAAATGAGAGAACGAGCAATGAGACTGTGGGGGGAAAAGCTATGGATGGGTGCCTCCAAATGTCTGGATGTGTGAAGACGGTGGGCAGTTACTCAAGTCCTGCTTCTTTGGTGATTCCTTGCTGTAAACGTGGACATGGATTCGGTCAGCTGCACCCCTTCTGATTTCACTGGACTCCTCAGGGTCCCTGGTCAACCTCAGGCTTGTTGGGAATGTCTGTCAAAGTCATTAAGTGGACACAAATGTGATGGTGTTGGTGTTGGTACTGGTGGTGGTGGTGGTCGGTATGTGTGGCTCTTCTAATAAAAAAGGTTTGAACAGCAAGGAGTTAGAAGTCAATACACTATAAATATGGGATCCTAATAACACAATCGGACATTCATTTAACGACTCAATAATGATAATAACAACTGGCACTTTTAAAGGCACTTACCATGTGTCAGACATTGTTTTAAGTGTTTATGTGACATATCATTTTGATCCCTTTCAGAAATTCTGTGAGTGGGCAAGTACTACCCTCATGACAGAGTTGAGAAAGGAGGCTTAGAAAGTCTAAGTAACTCGCTCAAGGTTACACAGTGAGTGTTTGAAATGAGGCTAACCTCAGAGCCTAAACTTTCTACCAGCCCCTGTGCTGTCCTGCCTCTAAGGGTGATGCCGCTGACAGCAGCGCGGAGGCTGGGAGGACACGAGGGCTACACAGGAGGCAGCACTTCTGACTAATTTCCTGACCCTGGGCCCTCACCTGGGCATCCTGTTACAGTCTCCAGAGTAAACATCATCCTTCGGTGCTTTGAACATAGACTTATGATTGACAGGAAAAGGGAGCAGACAGACTTCCTATGAGGAAATTCATCTTTAAGGATAATTAATCTCCATTTGTGAGATTCAAAAGCTTGTTACACCTGTGCAGGTCGAACTGAGAAACAAGGAGGTGGAAGCAGGGCCATTCTATAGCCAAGAGTGAACTTGTGATACTGAGGAAGCTGCAAAAGCCCACAAATTCAAATAATCACAGCGTGGGCTGGACCTCTGGCAATAAACCATGTTTCCTTCTGGACACAATCATTTTCTCCTGTGATACCTGAAATTATCATTAATTCGATGCTGAAATAACTGCATGTTTCCCCCAAAATAACTCATGTAAAGTTAATCATCGTTCATAGTTATAAATGTGTTTGGTTTCTTTTTTCCTACTGCAAAGGTGATGACAGATATGTAAATCCTTTAATCCAAACCATTGCATCATGTTAAGGCTGATCGGTGAACAGGCTGGAAAGATTAAGACAATGGCTCTTCTAAAGAGCAGCTTTGTGGACCGCCACAATCTCAGCAGGTAAGATCTATCAATATTTAGTATTGTTTATTTCATAGACACTCACGCACAGTTCAAAAACAAAGTATATGAGAAAAAGTGAATCAGAGTGAGAGAAATTAGATTGTGATTTTAGTTTACCTTATAAATTTCTCCCTATGTACAAAAAGTACAAATTTTTTCGTTTTCTTCCTCTTACAGGGAGTGGGCCTGCTGTTTTATTTTATAATTTTTAGACATTGAAACAGTCATAAACTCACAGAAACACTGAGAGCACAGCACATATAACTTTACTGCTTGAATTATTTGAGATAGGTTTTGGCATTGAGGCATCATAATTGTCAATACTTCAGTGTCCAAAGACCATCTGCCAGGTGACCACAACACTACAATCAAGACAGAGAAGTTGACACTGAAGCCTAACCCTAACACTGACCCTCTAACCCCAAGGCTACCATAACCTTGACCCTCTAACCCCAACCCTAACCCTAACCCTGACCCTCTAACCCTAACCCTAACACTGACCCTCTAACTCCAACCCTAACCCTAACCCTAACCCTGACCCTCTAACCCTAACCCTCTAACCCTAACCCCAACCCTAACCCTAACCCTGACCATGCCCATGGAGTCTTTGTTCCAGTGGAATCCGGTCAGAAGTGGTGGGAGATTATAGATCTCCAGTTCTGTGGGATCTGTAGAATGATCCCTGGGCTTGAAATCAGAAAATGGTTTAAATTTTTTCACTTTCCCTGAAAGCCATGTGACCTTGACTTTGAACATCTGTTCTGTCATCTGTAAAATGAGGACAATACCTCCCTTACAGTGTTGTTTTAAGGATTAAATGAGATGTATATAGGGAATACTCAAAACATAGTATGGGATTATTTTCAAAATAATGTGCATTATATTAACTCATTTAATCCCTCTCTGGGTGCACAATATACTGAGTACCTAAACAAAACAGAAGGAAGGCTCTGAAATCTATAAGGTACACTTTCCATCTATCCACTGTAACAGCAAAACGTGAGGCATCAAAGTAACGCAGCCAACATCTCTGCCTCCTGGAACTCACATTCTAGCACAGAAGACGGGCGGTGAAAGTTAGAAATACTTTAGCTGGAGACGCGTTCAAGGTATTCATACTGGAAATGATATGGTAAAGGGAATTTGGAGTGCAAGGGGTGCAGTTTTAGGAAGGGTGGTCAATGAAGGCCTCATTGAGAAGGCGTCACTGGAGTAAAATTTTGGAGGAGGTGAGGACGTGAAGAGTTGAGCCAGGGCTCTCTCGGGGAAGAGCATTTATTCCAGGTGGAGACAGAGCAGGGCAATGAGCCTGAGGTGGGCACTTGCTGGTGTGCTCCAGGCTCGGGGCTGGAGTCAGGGAGGGGGTGGGGGGTGTGCCTAGGGAATGGGGCCCCATCACCAAGGGATGAGCTCACCATGAGACATCTGCATTCCAGCGCAGGCTCACGGCACTTAGCTAACCTTTCCATGTGTTGGTTTAAAACTAAAGCTCTCGGGGTTTTTTCCATGTGATTTGTCTCTTAATCTTAAATTCCTATTACAAAGCATTCCAAACAGTAGTACTTTAACATGGTCCAGTAGATAAACTAAAGGCAAGACTTTATTTTAAAAAGCTTTAATACTGAAAACAGAATAATTGTGCTTCCTCACTTAGTATTTCTCCGCAGCCATTGTGGTTCACTATAACTTCATTGAGAACACAGAAGAAATTTGTAGAAGGAAGATGGGAATCTGACTCCCCACTTTCTTTCGTTTTCCAAACTGGCATTTCATGGAAAGACATGAATGCCTGAGCTAGTGTTTCTCTCAGAAGTGGGCATCTGATTCCCAGTCACCATAATAGGTAGTAAAGAGAAGAAAGACCTCTAGTTTATCGTTATGCTTGCTCTTCTCTTATCAGAATGCCTACTCACACCAGAAAAATTTATTTTAACAGGTCAAAGAGTAGTACACCACAGTACGCATCCTGCCATGTTTTGGTTATCATGTCTTTCATTTTACAAACAACATGAGGACATTTATTTTAAAAATATAAAAAGTTAATGTTGAGTTTTCAAAGGTCGAGGGCTTTTCGGCTAGTTCCTCTGAGCTCTTCACAAAGTGGACGTATTGAGAAGCTCTCTAAGAGCTGAAAGATACTCTCAACTATGTCTTCAAAGATTTATGTGCAGCTGTTGCAATTTTTAAATGTTTAATTTATCACGACATATCAGGCACACTCTTAGGACTGAGGTGAGTGTTGGCCAGTTAATTCTAGCAAAAATATCAGTTGATAACTAAAAGTAGTGAATTCCATCTTCAAGGGAAAATTATTCTCTGAGCTTCGGCACCGGCATCTAGTTCCACGTCACCTTGAGGGCCATGTTATTAATGCAAAGGACCAGGTTCAGCTGATAAACTCAGAGCTCCTCATCCCTAGTCTACAGAGCCATTCCAAGAATCGATGGGCAAGAGAGAAACCAAATGGCTTGTGGTCTCAGGCAGAAGGTTAGCATCATTGCCACAGGGCACCTTATGAGGATGTCCTTAGAGAGCAGCTCACTCCACCCGAGTGTCCAGTTGTCCTCTGCGTAAAGCGGAATCCTGTTGCTTTTTCCATTTGTTGAAGGTTATAAAGGCATGACCTGGTTGCTAATAAAGCTTTGTAATCTCAGGATGCATTAATAGAGACAGAATGCCCAGATCAAGCCAGCAACTGACATGTCAGCACTCAATACCAGTAAGACCAGTTCAGAAATATTGGTGTTTGGTTCTTGCCCAACATACTAAGATGAATGTTGATAACTTGGGTAAGATCTAGAGGATGGCACAGAAACAGTGAGGTGTCACATGAGGGGCAGCTGAGGAATCAGAATATTTTGCCTAGAAAAGAGAATTCTTGGGTGCTGGTTTCAGGAAAATGAAAGATCATCTGTGGCACATGACTTGGACTTATTCTGAGATCTTCAGAAGATGATGTGTGAACGAAACCTGCTCGATTCCAGCTTTGTGATAGAGCTGTGTTTCCTGACACACAGCATGTCCTGTTTGAATAACATTTCAGGTGCTATCCCTCTCACTCTGCTCTTTGGCTCCATGAAGGGGACAGGGACCATGTTGTGTGTCCTGTTGTCTTTCTGTCTCCCTTGGACTCCTCTCTTTTATGCTTACACCTTCCTCTGTATTGTCCCATGTATGCCAATCTTCATCGCATTCTCTGAAATACAAACTCATCCCACATGCTTTTTATGGTCATCATTCCTGACAGTTACCAAGAGTTAACAAATAGATACCGTGACCCCTAGCACCACGACCTCTGCCAAGAATAAGCAGTCTGAGCCAGACATTACAAAGAGGTCATGGCGGCCACTGAACTGGGCATCTGAGATAACACTCAACCCCACCTAATTAGCATTTACCATGCCCAGGCACTGGGCTGAAGGTCCTGCATGAATTTACTCATTTAATCTGCAAAATAATTGAGATGGATAATTTTATTATCCTCATTTATAGATGGGGAAGCTGAGAGTAAGAGAGATTAAATAACTTGTTGAGAAACACCAGCAGTCTGACAAATCTGTACTACCTCCTGGATAAATCTAGAGTTTCCTGAGAGGGGAAGGGTTGGGTGTGTGATCAGAGAAGACAGGACCTAGTGGTAGTGGGGAGAAGAGATGGTCTGTGCTAGAAGTGTGCTCCAGGAGGGACAAATGGAGGCGAGTACAGACGAGGTAAAGACACATCCTGTGGTAGCAGACAGGGCAACATGGGGCAGATGGTCTTTGGGAGCCCTACTTTGTCCAATCTTTTTCCATTTGTTAAAACTTGCTTCTTCCTGATATTTTCATCAGCATTTTAAATTATGCAGAATTGCTGAGTTGCTACATATACTCTGTGTAGACCTATCCTCAGCTTATGTTAAGTTTGGGTATATGGCTTAAGTGAGGTTTTCCTAGATTTTTCTCATTCCACATGAGCGATACGTGGCTACCTCCCTTTGCTCCATCTAGGAACAGCTATCATGCTGCACCACCACGGGCAGGGAAAACAGAAAGAAGTTCGGTCTGATCTCCTTTCTCTCCCCCTATGATGTAAACTGCCCCCCAAGTTGGATAAATGGAAATGCTGAGCCTCAGGGAAGCAGGGTCTAGAACAAATATTTTGGTGAAAGAATCTACAGTATTTTTACCCCTTTCCATACAGATGGTGCTGATTCCCAAGCTTGCTAGAGAATATGTATTTGGAGAAGCCAGGAAGAGAGGCTGCCCACTTTGCAGTTTCAATTTTTGTGTTGATGTAATTAAAAAAGAGAACATCTATTTTTAATCTGTGTACTCTGGATATTCTCCATTGGCTCCTCAGACTGACCCTCGACCTGTCATAGGGCTTCATGGGCAGATTCACCCAGGTTCCCCTTCACCCTGGATTACAGTTGGGTTTGGCCAATGGAAGGAACAGGCAGAGGAGTAGAGAGTAGGAGGAGATGACCTCTAGGAATTAGTCCCTCATCCCCGCCCCATGGTTTGGCGGTAGTGTGCTTCCCTGCTTAAACCCACAGCTCCTGTTGGGTGGCATCTCTGCCATCTCTCCCTTGTCCCCTCTTGCCTAGGAGTGGTAACAGCTTCCAAGAGATCCTTCCCCATCCTTGGTGATTTCCTTGACCCTGCCCAGCCCTCTGTAAAATTCCTTTCATTCAACGGTGCTCAGTTACCCTTTGAATGTGCCATCTTTCTGCTGGAATCTTTGCTGATACATTTGTCTCTTGATAGACTTTAAAAAATGAAATACGTGGATCACAGAATCAAACCACTCAAAGTGAACTTTAATATTACATACATTTTATAGGAAATAAATAATTCAGGAAAATTTACCTATAATTTTAAAAAATCACAAAAGATACCAGGAAAAAAGAGAGTAACTTGCTGAAATAAAAGTTAATGCCCAATACATGGCCTTGGTCCCATGTGTAAAGTAGACAATAGCTTTTGTGAATTGCTAAAATAATCTTTATTTCCATAGTGTGTATTTCAGGTGATCACAATATTTCGTAAATTTAAAAAAACAATTATGATGCTATTAGGTGACTGGAGGCATGTTATAGATGTGCACGCAGAGGAAATCCAGCGGAGTTAAGTGTTTGATGCAGGCAGACAGTCATCAAATACCGGAGTCACAATACCATGTCACGAGTAGGACAGCAGATCCAAGCCTGCTTTGCTCCCTGTGAATGACTCAAGCAGGGGCTCTTCCCAAATTCAGAAAGCCGCTGGATTTGCTCAAGTGAAATAAACCTCTGCTGAAGTGCATGCTAATTGTCCTCCCTGCCTTTCAAAGTCATCAAATTCTAAACCTGAATATGTTGTTTTTCTCAGTTCAAATCAGAGCTGACGTCACAGTAGCATTAGGACAATCCTTCTTTCAAAGTGCACAGACACGAACAGGCAGGGGCACCGAGAGATTAACTTAATGACGCCCAGAATGTGGGCCGGAGTCACTCGCCCTGCGGCTCAGAGCCTGCAGCGCCTCCAGCCTGGCAGTTTGGGGTGGCGTGGTTTCTAGAGCTTTGGTCTGGCTCTAGGTTCTCATAGGTCCAAGCCTCTTAGAGATTCAGCTTTGAGGTCCCCTCCACTTTCGGGGGCTTTTCTGTAACTTCTGAGCAAAACTCAGGTTCCTCTCAGGTCTTTGGAGATCCAAAGCCATGATTTGGTTCCAGAATTTCCCAGCTCCCTCTTGGGAAGGATGACCTGGGACAATTTCAGCGCCAGAGAGAGGGCTTTCAGCCCCACGTGCTTCTGGACACCTGAAGTTGGGGCTGGCATTCTGAGGTAAATATCGACTATAGTTTCTTCCTTTTCATTCCACTGGCTCATGAGGGCAAAGAGTAAAATCTAGGTCTTCTTTCATCACGGCTCAGTTCTCCAATACACCAGGCTAAGTTCCATGTTCTTTATTTAACTTGAAATGAGTCAGTCAACTTACACAGGTACGTCTGATGTGACAGGATTTTCAAAAGGGAAGTGTTCACATATCTAATCGAAGTAATTTTTCTGTTACCTTTAAATTGCCATTAATAGTAGGCAATTTACTTTCAATTCTTTCTATGTATATATTGGTGCAAATGAAGTAACAGAATGTAGTCGTTTAACACGCTGCAAGGAACAGGGCACATGAGGAAGCAAAGCTCTGGAAATCGGCCAGTTCTTAAATAAAAGGCTTAAACTTATATTTTGGGCCCCAGACTGAATCATTTTGTTCCCACTAGTGATATCACGTCCAAGTTTGTTTTTGAGGGTCTCAGGCATTATTCCAGAATTTGGGGGGCGGCAAGGCATGGTGAAGGATTGTAGTTAATGTTTTCATTTGGAGGAAGGAAAATATGTGATAAAAAGAAATCAGTCTTCCAGATTCACTGTAACTTCAGGATTTTATGTTTAGGAATAACCCAAGAGCCTAATTAGTCCTATTTAAAACAATTTCTTAACTTCAGAATACTTGGTAGACAGGAAGATTTATTTACATGTCCAGATTTTAGTTAAATTTTGCCTGGTTTGTTTAATTTAGTAGAAAAGCAAACCATTTATTTATTCTGTTTAAAATAGCTGATTTGACATAGACTGTTTGTGTCAAGACACACGAGGCCTGGATTGTTCACATTTTCTCTCAGCCATCAGATGACTGATAACTACTATAGGAAATGGTTTTGCGCAAGCAACTCAACGAGACTTGGGAAAAAAATAGCATCCCTTTTTGGTTTTTCAAACAGCTATTCAGTAATAACACATTGCGAAAAAAATAAGGTGATTCTAGTATTTTGAAGATCATGCAGTAAGGAAAATAATCCTCTAATATGAAACACTAATTGAATATTTTAAACTCTAATTTACAATGCAACCACACTTTACAAACTTGCCAAATTAAACATATTTTCTCCCACTTTTACCTCATTTAAAAAATACTATATCTACACTATAAAATGTTACTTGGGGGAATTCGTCAAATACTATTCCATTTTCAAATTTCTGTTTTATAGTTTATTTTTGTAACATTTCAGATGAGTTTACACAGTAATTAAGATATGATTAAACAGTGCAAATTCACTGAAACATTTTGATGCTGAGTTGACACTATGCCAAAGATTTAGCAATAGATTAAGATATGACTCACATGATTTCCTATATAGTACCAGTCAACCATGTGTCCCAGTTAAAAATATGGACATTTGAATTTTGCTACAACACAGTCATCTTAATAAGTAGATGTGAGTCATGAACTCAACATCAGCATTAAAAGGATTCCAATGTATCCGAAGAATTGACCCGATTTTTTGGTTTTTAATCCTATTATTTGGCTTTAGGTGTAGCCTCATATCTCCTCCCCCAGAAACAGAATGAAGAGCATTAATCAGAATTACCTCTCTTAATATCCTGTTGTTTGTTGTTGAGAGGAAATTTCCTAAAATCCTCTGGATTACTATTAGCACAATGGGCATTATAAAATAAATAACCTGGCACTTGGACACATAGATTCCGGGGGTTAGTGAAGAAGCTGACGGTGACCAACCGAGCCCACTCATCTGAGCGTGATGCTGCACGCTGAGGGAGCACTGCCACCGACAGACATCGCACAGCAGGGGCCCGCGATCTGCAACCTCATTATCAGAGAGGGTTTGTCAGGCAGGCACAAGGCACCGGGCTTGGCTGCTTCCACAGATCGACTTTCCGGAGAATACACATGAAGCCTTATCTGGTCAGACTGTACACTGTGTATTTAATACAGTAGTAGCATATAAGATTAAAACAGAAAACACGGTAACTATTTAAGGTTTTAGACAAATTACAAAACCACATGCTTTCTCATTCAACAGGAAAGCTTAAAAGTCCAATGGATCTTAAACACTGTTGGTTGTTCCTCAAAGGCGGTGTAACGTGCTCTCGGAGGGCAGGTTGTATAGATCTTCTGACACTTCCCGTGAAGGGCCTTGTCAGCACATCTGTGGCCCAAGCACTGCTGAAATGTCTGTTTTATTAGGGTAGCTTCATTTTGTTTATAAACTAACGGGTTTCATTTCTCCAAGGAATCATTTCAAAACGTTCTTCCAGATGCTAACTCAGCACTACTGAGCGACTATCCACAAGGGCCAGCTACTTACTGGCACTGGGACTGTGTGGAACAGGAAGTCGGGGGCTTGCCTCTCGTGTCCTCAATGACACCCGGGAACAGAGCACGGACCGCAGCACTCTTAGCACAGGGCGGCCTAAAGATGGCAAAGACCCAGGGGTCGATAATCGGATTGATCGACAGAAACCTAAGGGCTTGGAGGTCCCACTTTTCTCTTCGGGAAAAGGCTTCATCCATATATGCAAAAATCTGTAAGACACAAAGGGGAAAAGAGATGTCAGTTACCTTGCAGCCGCGGACAGGCTTAGACGGCATGCACCTCCCTAAGGCGTGGCGTGTGTGGTGGTGGAAGGCGGGCAGGAAAACCGCAGTCTTCTTCCATGTGCGGATCGTAAAGAATGAAGTCACGTTTTCTGTAATTGTACTCAACATTAACATAGGTGCCATGTCCTGAGCTTGTCACTGGGGATGGAGGAAAATGAATAAACTATTCTTGGCACTTCGAATGCTAATAACAATATTAGTAGCTCCCATTTATTAATAACCTAATGTATGTCTCATGAATTGACTGGGTACTAAACCCACTTTATTTCTAGTCTGAAACAAAGTATTGTCTCCCTTTGACAGATGAGGAAGTGAACATTAGTAAAGTTAATAACAACATGTTCCATTTACTTTCAAACACTTAATCTCATTTAATTATCACAATTCGGTGAGAGAGGGTACATGCCAGAGCACCCTCCTCGGGAACACAGTTCTGGCTGTTGGACTGCCTGGGTTTGAATCCAGGCTCCATGTTCAGCCTTGGGACTGTAGGTAAGAAAATTAACCTCTCAGTGCCTCAGTTTCTAATCCTTAAAACGGGCCGTAATAACAGTGACACCTGCCTCAGAGGATGTTGGGAGACAACAGGAAGTAACATGTGTGAACTACTCAGCACAGCACTCACCTAAGAGATCCTCAGTGTTCCTGCCGTCATCTCCATCTCCCACCAGGGACACCACGGCGCAGGGGAGGCGGGTGACTGGCCCAAGCTCCCAGGGCTGGTTAGTGCCAAGTCAGGACACAAATTCCAGCCCCCTCCACACCAGCGCAGTGCTCACTGTGCACTACATCTAGGTGCCGAGATTAGGGCCAAGGCTTTCAGAACAATGTCCTAAACACGGGAAAGCTGACATGTCTTCACACACTAGCCAATGTTTTCACTGGGATACCAGCTCTCATCTGAGTCCTTGGATATTTAGGGGGTAACACAACTTTTTGGTTAGATTGAAAGGAATGGAACAGTATACACTCAACAAAGATCAACCACTTCTACCCGGTTTACAGAAAAGAGGAAAACACATGTCAATCACACTCAGTCATTGAAAATCTGTTCTTCTAAAGCTCCAGGGACTTCCTTACCAGTGGTGGCCCAAGGGTTAGTGAGCTATTCCCTCTGGCCTCCACTCTCCTTTGCCAGAAGAAGGAAGGGTTTATTTCCTCTCCCTGAGACTCACGCTACAGGAATCTGGCAACTGGATATACAAAGCAAATTGCAGCGAGCGAGAAGAGTAGTCATCTTCTGGCTGCTTACGTCAGGACAATAGTAGGAAAGTTTGCAGCCACAGGTGTTTATGCCAGAGAATCTTGGCATAGGGAATGGAGAAAAGACTTGGCAGACAAGTAAGGGAAAAGAAGAAAAGAAGAAATCAGGGTTTCCCTGATTATAGAGAGAAGAGTTAGGTAGGGATATGCAATAGAGCAATAATTTTCTTGTCAGCTGAACTATTTTGGGTGAGAAATATACAGTACTTATATGGTGTATTTAAGGAGCGAGTTTTGAGTTTAGAAATTCAGGATACTAGTGTAGGTAAGTCTGATAGATTAAAATATATTAGTCACTACTCACACCCTGCCCCCCCCCCCCCGACTCCACACACACACAACGAGCCCTTCGTTGTAGGAAAAGTAGGTAGCTGAGTTTATGATCTAGTTTCACCAAAGAATTTGGCAACACTGCATTGGCCCCCGCACGGGCAGTGTAGTGCGGGCTGGCTCAGCGACCCAGCACCACAGCTTCACACATGAGACGAGTCAGGTTTTCAGTGGAGAACAGCCCACAGCACAGTTCCTGATCCCTGGAGAGTGTGACAGAGCCATGAGAAGTGCAAAATGATTCTAGAGAATGAAGCAATTCTGTATTATTTGCTTCCTGTCCTTTTCATGCACTATGCTGGGTAATTTTTAGAAATGCTTACAACTTGCATTTCTGGAGGTGGCCACTATTTTGTGGAAGACAATTTCTTCTTTTACACTTGGAAAAGGGATGTATTCAGTGACAAAGTTCTTGATGTAAGTGTTGTCTTCTCCTATCTTCCCGTTTTTTTTCTTTGGTTCCTGTCTTTTGCCTACAGCTCACCATTTTTGATCTTGTGGATCCTGGTTTGTTTGTTTTTTTAATTGTAAAATATACATAGCATAAAATTTACCATTTTAACCATTTGCAAGTGTATAACCAGTGGTATTAAGTACTTCACATTGTAGTGCAACTCTATTGTTTATATTTTTTATTTTCTGTATATTATGATGTTTTGACGTGTTAAAACCTTTCAGGCTAGGGACAGATGGCCACTCCCTGGGCTGGCCAGTTCCTGGAGACAGCCAAGGGCTCACCCAGGAGCAACTGTTTGATGTGCAAACTAACCAATCCACAGCTCCTCCATCTGGCCTGTGCCCAGGAAGAGAGTAATCCTCTGCCTTCATCATCCCGGTGCCTGGTGCCAGACGACTAGGCACCCCCATGGCTCAGAGTCTGCAGCCAGTCCTAACCCATTCCCCCTGCCCTGCCTTTCCTCAGAAACTCCAATAAAGGCTGGGCCCAGCCTCCCTCAGGCTCCTGACCTGCCCTAGGACTTTCCCATGTGGCCCTCGTGTTGTACAGTGCCTCCTGTTTCTAGGACCTGTGCGTATAAGACAATTTGCTTTCCTGAGCTCTTCTGTTCTCCTCTTGTGGCCACACCTGACTGACCATCACATAAAAGAACCCAGAACAGAACCATCACCACCATCCATCTCCAGAACTTTTTTCACTTTCCCAAACTGTCCCCATTAAACAATAACTCTACATTCCCCTCTCCCACCAGCCAATCCTGTATTTCAATTAAAGGGTGACACGATGGATATAAGTCAATTAACAATGTTTCAAAGATATTCTGGAATTCAGCTTCAGACGCTGGTAGCATATGCGTATGTTTTTGCATTAACTACCAATGAATTTGCTCTGGGAAAAGTATCAAGCGCTAAACCCCACAGGTCAAGTGAGCTTACATTTGTTCCAGCTCTGTCTACAGGGCTTTGCTAAGAATACAGAGCTCGTAGTGACACCTACACAGCGGCACAGATGAAAACCAGCGGGTTTCAGATTCATCTTCTATAGAATCCTCACAGCCTCCCCCGGAGACGTCCTCGTGGCCCTGGCTGGGTATGGTTTGTTCCCGAGACTTTCCTACCCAATACAGCCACCCAGCACGTTCAGAATTTGAGAGCAAATGAGAGCTTTATCTGCTCATTGAAATCACATGAGGAGCGTTAAAATACAGACTCTCCCTTAGCAATTCTGATCAATCCAATCTGGGCTGTAACGTGGGCACCACAGCTTTTAGACGCTCCCAGGGGATTCTAACGTGCAGCCAAGATTGAGAACCAGCACTTAGAACCTCGGCCAACAGCTGAAATAGTTAAAAATCGCTCATTTATCACACCCCAAAACAAAAGACTCACTTGGGCCTGGCCAATCAAGCAAAAGCTTTGAGCTTCTGGAATTCAGCTCCTAGAACGGATTTGCCTTCGGAACTTGAACCCCATGGAGACAGCAGCTGATATTTCCTGAATAACTATGCGTGCCAGGCACGGTGCCAAGCAATTTGTGGCTTCTGTTTACTCCTTACTCGAACCTGCAAACTGCTATTGCTCCCATCTTCGTAAGGAGGAAACCACACTTCGAAGGTTCGCGTCACCTCACCCAGTCACACTCCCTGAAGCATGGAAGCCGCGAGACCACACGCAGGCTGTGGGACCTCGCTCTCCCGCAGCCACTGCACAGCTGCGCCGTCTGCATACGAAGCCTGCGATGCACAGCCTCCTCTCAGAAACTCACCGTCACGGCCCGAGTTAGGGCTCGGAGGGGACTTCTTTTCAAAGGTGTCACAAAGGGTAATGGGTATCACTGTTCCTGTTTAGATTTAGAACCATAACTATATCTAAGTAGCTGCGTGACTTTCTTCGGGACCTTTCTTTCTCCACACTTCCCGAAGCGGCACCGCAGGGAGGTCGCTCCATGTCCATCCGCCTCGTGAAAGGCACTGGGGCGCCCCGGCTATGGGCGCTGCATGACCCATTCCTTCAAAAACTCTCTCGGGGAAATTATTCCCCAGGTATACAATGTTTTAAGGAATCCCATTTCCCCAAATCACAGGTGCTTTGTGGTGGAGGGAACAGAAGCCAACTTCCCTGCAGAAGCAAACACTGGCGCATGCATACGGCTCCAGCACGAAAGAGCGTGGCCCCTCTGCTTCAGGTGACCCCAGAACTGGCCACAACAGAGAGCCAGCGCCAGGGCTTAGAGCTCTGGCCTGTAGACTCCAGGGGGTGGCTCTTAACCCTTCAGGAAAATGATGGACACAATGAACCATCTACTCAGAACTCAGATCAACACAAAACTTTGCAAATGGCTTCAAAGTGGCCCATGCACTGTCCATGGAGCGCATTAGGAAGCCTGACAGAGAGGGTGTTTCAGCCTCTGGGGAACCACTTTCCCTAACCCTCGCCCCTCCCACCACATGTGTGTCCCAACTGCAGAATTCTTAAGCCTAGTTTTCTGTTAGAGGGGAACAGTTTTAAGCAGCAAAATATTCTGAAGAAAATGAAGCGTAGGACACCTTGGTGATATAACTTGAGGCACAGTGGACCTGAGCTCAAAATGAGAAAGGGAGAGGTGATCAGAAACTTCAAAATAAAGGCCAGGAGAAGCCACGGACGCCTGGCAGCTGAAGCTGCAGATCAGCCTGGGTCTCAGGCCTTCAGCTGAAGAGACATGTTGACCGCCTTCCTGAAATGCTATCTCCAGAGGTCACCACCACTTCTAGTCTTCTTTTTTTTTTTAACTTAATATTGTGATGGGCTCTTGACATGCCAGAAAAGAAGTATACCATCCCCAAAAGCTGTTTTTCTTTAAGCTGAGGACCTGGCCGTATTCATCTGAAACACCAGTGAAGAACGCCTTGGCCAAGGGTGTAGACACCATGCACAACTTCTCTTCTGGGAAAAGGACTATGCTTCTTACTCTCTAAATTTTAAAAACTCAGTGTAATTGCGTCTTTATTCACAACCACCACTTCATAACATCAAATGGCAAAGTTAAAGATGTCAAGTGAAAACACACATGGAGGAACTTCTCTTAAAGGTCATGTGTTGAAACCTTTTCAACAATCCCCCAACGCATCGTCAATGGTCCTAAATGATAAAGGACCTTGCAGTAGCTCCTGGATATCAACTCACACATTGCCAGGCAAGTTCACTGTGGTTATGCATACAGATTTTGGGATTTCTCTTTCATCCCTACTAGAGTTGTGATATTTTGCATGTATGTAACTGACCAACTTCCTATCAGTTTTATAGCCCCCATTCATGTTACACTCTACATAAAGATTACGAAGAGTGAAGAGAAAACTTCAGTACTGTTTACTTGAGTTTGTTCTGTATTGCAAAGATCATATTTCTACTGATCAGATTTTCTAGAAATTATAGCCCTAAAGAATTTCTAAAGATGAAGATATTTTTAGGATGAGTCAATGGTTCATTCTTGAAATTTTAGAACCAAATTAAAATGCACTTTATCCTAATGGCATGTGGAGAACAGTTTAAAATGGACAGAATCTACCCACAATGATTAGTAAAGCTGCGTGAAGGCAGCTTGGTGTAGGTTGGAAATTAAGACACAAATAGTATCTTATGCAAGGATGGAGGTCTGATATATTTCCTGTGTTCTGTTCCATTTCAGGAAGAAAGTTTCTATTTATCTCTGTGAAACGATGACAGCACTGATTAACATAAGGAGGAATTTATTAATTTATACAATATCCCTTTAGTGGGTAAACAGTTTGGAATACGTTGGTCCCATGCAGATTTCATATCGGACAGCCAAAATAATGTCATTTCCTAAACACCACATGCTTTTTATTATCACGTAAGAAATGTTTTATGTGTACCAATGGAAGATTTTATCTGAGGGGTAATCTGATTATTTCTTAATTTAGACCAGCATTTACATGAGGAACCTCCTAAAATATGGGTCTCAGCCTTTTAATTCATAGGTCTGTGGAGAAGAAAAAAGGGTCACACCCTTGGCCTCAGCTCAGGCCCTTGATCTGACAGGGAGAGAAAGGTCTTTGCCATTTTATTTTTAAAGTGAACAAGTTAGAATTAAGAGGCCAGGTGGTCCATCGTCACAATCTTGGATTAATCTTCTCGTGTTACCCCTGAGATGAGTACTTTCTCTCCTGAGAGTGTGGTGGTTCCGAGCACAGCCTCAGTGCTTAACTGCCTGGCTTTGAATTCTGGCTCCAACACTCAGCAGCTGGGGGACCCAGGGTAAGTTATTTGCCTCATCTGTAAAATGGGAATATTTTACAGGTGGTTATGAAGATAACAGGTTCGTCTCAGTAAGCATTAGCACTCAGAGACGTTAGCCATTTGGATGGTGATAATAATGGTGTCTGAGGTTGACCTTGACTTCACTACAGGGCACTGGCATTTTGCATTTTGATAGTTTCATTTCCAAACTTTGGAAGTCCTAGACTGGCATTCTTGGAGGAAGCAGTAATTCTAACCTGCCCACCCACTGGGACAACGGCTGACAGCAGCAGCTCCAGGTTTCTCAAGTCCCCGCTCCTGAAGGGCTGGACCAAGCTGGTGTCCCACCGGGTACTCAGCCGTGAACTGTCCTCCTTACTGGGCTGGTGGTGCGGCCCCTTTTTGAGGGGCACAGAAAGCAGCTCTGTTATCCCGAGGAAGGAATAGGCAGAGAGAGGGTAAACTGCCAGTGTTTTCTGGGACACAAGGAAGAAAATTAGTTCAAACAGCTCATTAATAATTATTTTACATTGATTACGTTTTGAATTGATGATATTTTGGATATATTAAGTAAATTATATTGATTAAATTATACTGATTAATCAGTATAATTAATTACTGATTAAAATTAATTTCATCTGTTTCTTTCAACCTTTTGTTCAGCGGCCACTAGAAAATCTAAGTTTCCATATGTGGCTCATGCTGTATTTCTGTTGGGCTGCGTGTGCTCTGCTAGAGGAACAGGAGAACTCAAGGCAATCTCATGGTGCCCCCGGTCAGGACATGCGGAAATGATTCCTGCCTCGGGTGGGAGACTGGACAGGCCATTTCTGACCACAGTTTTGGTGTGAGCCAAGTAAACTAAAGGGACCTGGGGGAAAGTGCCCTGGAGCACACAACAGGCATTTGAAATAGCAGAACAAACTCACCAAACAGTGGCCATGAGTTTTGAATCATCAGATAAGCCCTCCTTACCTATGTAAGGATACTGCAGCATTTCATAAGGTTTAAAGTGCTACGTAAACAAAAGACACTAACAAGGACCAAGAATCTACTGACAGAACAGAATTGGTCAATGGCTCGTCGATACTTCCCATTTAAGGTGGGTTCATTTAAGGTGGGTTCCAATATCTGCTTGGTGCCTAGTGGGCTACCTAGTCATCTGGAAAGTGTGTCACTGGGCCCCAAGGCAAGAAGTCAGCTCGCCCGTCTTCCTGAGTGTGTTCACACGAGGCTCTCCTGCTCAGAGTCCTCGCCGTGCCTATCTGCAGAAGCAGACCTGGGTCACGTGTGCTGATAGTGTCCATGCTGAGCAGCAGCTTGGGGGAGCCGAAGCCCCCTCATAATCTTCCTCTGGCCCTTCAGGCCATGAACAGGCATTCAAAGAAAAACACAGCTTCAGAGAAAACCTGCTCTCCCACTCCAGAGCAGACTCCCCACTCTTGCACTTGGCACCTCTGGAGCTGCGCCGGCTTAATATTAAATGAAGGGGAGATACATATACATATATTTGAAAGTCAACATGTGGCAATGATAGAATTCAGGATAAAAGGCAAATTTAGTTGAAAACGGGAACCTGTTGAAAATCACTGCCTTTATCTTAAAAATACAGTTTGTGCAAAGGGTCAGTCACAATCAAAGGTGAGACCTTCTCCCTCCTGTTCTTGTCTAAAGGCTTAGGAAAGTGAATAACAACCCTCCTCACCAGTATGTGGCCACCTCCGAGCTCATCGCAAGGCTGTTTACGTAGTTGGGGTGGGGGATATTTTTACACATGCACTGGCGGAGGACAGACAGAACTCCAAGGACTGACATCCCCATCCACACCAGTCCAAGGCAGGCACTCCCCAGTTCAGAAATGGTTTATGTCTCCCAAGTTGAATTCTAAGTTGTTTAGTGAACTTCAAATGCTTTCTCTCAGACACATGTTCTGCATCGTAGTCCCAGCCCCCAAAAACTTGATTTAGCTCCTAAAATAATTGAAAGGTTCTACCAGTAAAAGAAAACAACTGCATAGAAGCCACATTGGTTTCTATATCTTAGCATTCCCGTTGCACAAACTGCCCGGCTCAGGGTGTAATGGGAGATGCGGCTCGCATGGTCCTACTTCATTTGATAACAGCGTACCTTTTACATCCTCCATCTCATTCCCCCCGTGCACTCAGACCCGCCTATACCCTGACAGAGAACAGGGTAGAAGTGTGAGGACAGTGGGGACCAGGGAGAAAAGAACACAGCTGAGAAAGAGTTGATCTGGGAGAGGTCATATCCAGGGTTTAGGGCCCTGTGTCCTTTCCCACCCCGAGGATGAACGTACGGAGAGAATCAAAAGCAGTGAAGGGGGCAGGAGGGAGGATGAAGTTACTTCTTCAGCCTTTACAGACCATACCTGCTCATGGCAGGCACTGTCCATCTCTCTTTCCTCTGAAACTATGGCAGGTGGGAGTCTCTGCTGACTGCTTACCCCCTGCAGGGTCAGTCTTGTTCTCTTGAAGAGTAGCAAGCAAAGCTACCAAAACTTCTAGCTCTCACTGCTCTCTATGAGGCCCGCCATGCTCAGACAGACCCCAGGCTCTGCTCCCGTGTTACACCTTAGGGAGCATCATAGAACTAACTGCTGGGGTTGCCCCAAACCAGGCCAGCACCCACCCGGGAACCCAGGCTCCTGTCCTCCAGCTCCCAGGGCCGCCTCTGGCCTGCTGGGTCACGGCAGGTGCGAGGATGAACCAGCCACTCCTGCGTGTGGCTTTTGTGCTCCTAAAGTGCACAGCTGTACACTCAAGAACACCTGTACATGTGTGACAGTAACATCAAGAGGATGTTTTGTAACAGGATACAAACGTCTGCTCCAGAAGGATCTCCAAAGCTTAGCAGGGTTCCTCCAAGCCAAGGTCTTGTCCTCTAATTATCTCTATGGACACATTGTGAATTGCCAGGCCCACAGAGAGTTATACTCCCAGTATGTAAATTGAGAAACCTTTAAACTAGGTGTTTGTTGAACTTTTAGGGAAAATAATAAATGCTCTGAACGTTGGCCACGGGACCCCTCTGACCCCTATGGGTTGGGTACCACACTTGCCCTGGGAGACACAGCAGACAAGGCAGGAGGATGGCATGAGCCGGCAGGAAGTCGGGCTGTGCTGACAACCTCCGAAGGCGGAAGGGGCTGCCCGCGCCGCAGGTCCTGAGCCAGGCTGTTCCTGGTGGGACGGGGCCCTCTCCAGGGGCTTCCGACTCTCGGACGGGGCGCAGGGCTGGCTTAGCCAAGGGCCAAGGCTCCCTCCCAGGGGGACTGTGTGACCGTCTGAGAAACGCCAGGGTTAGGGCAGGAAGGAAGCGGGGTGAAGGTGAGAGAGGGAAGGCTACAGACCTTTACAAACCAGGACATGTGTTTACAAGTTTCCAAACGGGTGGGAGTGAGAGGGGAAGTGTGGGAAGGCTGCGCAGAGCAGGGCTGCGGACTGAGCGACTTACTGTGAAAGGCAAGGAGCAGACGGCGAAGGTGATGGTCATAATAGCCAGGAGGATGAGGTGGTCCATCTCCTCCGCCATGGACACCCGTTCGCCTCTCCTGCGCGTCCCAGGGCCGCCCGGGCCGCTGCCCAAGGCGGGCGCGCAGCAGCTTCCCCTGGCCCGGCGGTGCATGCGGACGAGGTGGAGGATGACGCTGAGGTTGCAGGCGAGCACCGCGACGATGAGCACCAGCAGCAGCGTGGCGTAGAGCTGCAGGTACGCGGTGCGTCCATGCCGGATGAAACACCACGTCCCAGGGCAGTACTGGGAGTACTGCCTGTCGCCCAGCAGCGGCAGGGAGCAGAAGAGCAGGGACGCGGCGTAGACGGCGGGCAGCACGACGAGGCCGCCGCGGCGCGTGACGCGGCGCTGGTACAGGTAGGGGTGCCCGATGGAGAGGTAGCGCTCCAGGGCCATGGCGAAGAGCATGAGCATCGTGGCCAGGCTGAAGAAGGTCATGGCGAAGGCGAAGTAGGTGCACGCGCGGCCCTCGGGCGCCAGTGCCACCAGAGTCTGGTTCCGCGCGTACGAAGCCAGCACCACGGGGCTGATGAGACAGGTCCCCAGCAGGTCGGTGAACACCAGCTCGGTCACCAGCACGTGGAACAAGGAGACGGAGCTCCCGCGGCCGGCGCTGCGCCCCGCGTCCCCCAGCCAGCGGCGCGCCAGCAGCGCCAGCGCGATGAGGTTCCCCAGCACCCCGGCCGAGAACATCACGGAGCTGATGGCTGGGCTCTCGCCCGAGGGGAGCCACTGTCGAGACTCGCAGTCCCCGGGCCGGGAGTTATTGGAGGCATTGCCCATGGTGGGGCGTCAAGAGGGAGACGGGTCCTCCTCTCCCGGCCTGTACCTGGGGGGAGGAGGGTCTGAGAGCCGGAGGGATGGAAGCCGCAGCCCCTTCCGGGCCCCTGCGCGGGCGGAGGGCAGGCTCGGCCGGTCTGCAGCCGCTCCCGCTCGCGGAGAGGCCGCTGGGCTGCAGCATCCGGGCGGCGCTCGAGGCTCCTCCGCCGGCCCGCGCCCGCGCCCAGGGGCCGCCTCCACCTCCACCTCCACCTCCGCCTCCTCGCGGGGCCGGGCTCGCGCGGCGCCCAGCTGTCCCGGGAGCGCCCGCCAGCTGCCCGGAGCGGGAGGCGGCCCCTCGGGTGGCGGTCGGGGCTCGGAGCCGCTGGCCCCCGCCGGGCGGCGCTTACTCAAGCGGAGGGCTGGGCGCGCGCGGGCGGTGCGGGTCTGCGCGGAGTTCCCCGAGGGCGGGGCGACCGGAGAGCAAAGCGACTCAGCAAACGGCAGGGAAGTGGGGAGGCCCCAACCCGTGAGAAGTGGAAACGACGGAAAATACGGACACCAAAGACGGCTTACAGCAAGACCCATATCTTCTCTTTCTTTTTTTAGCATTCTCAGGAAGATACCGAAGAGGGCGGGACCCGTGAGGGAGGAAGTGAAAGCGGCCGGTCCAGCCGGGACCGACCCGCGCGCCCAGCGCCTGCTGCGCTACTGCTCGATCTGCTCGCCGTCATTTCGCCTTTTCCTATGTCAACATCGTAGTGACAACCACTTGTTTAAGCAACCATTTACAAAAGGAAAAAAGAAACGTTCCTTGTAATTCTGTAGAATTGTGTTTGCGGACACAGCTTGACACCACTGCACATTGCTCTGGACTCAAGCTCAGTCTTCAAAGAAAATGTTTAGCCATTAATTTTTTCCACGTTCAGTTAACCGTCCGGAAGACCCATTCCTGGTAAAGTTTATTGGTAAGTGGCCAGTTTCAGAGACTGGAACTGACAAAAAATGGTTGCTGACCAGCTATTGTCGTAATTGCAGAGTCTGAAAATGGGCTGATGTTTAAAACAAAAAAAATTCCGGTTTGACAGATGATGTGGGTAATTACATTGTGTAAGGAAGGTTCTTTTCACTCAGGGAAGGGAGGACTGGAATGATCCGCATGCGGAACTGGGCTGGAAAAACGTCGCGATGTTGGCGTAAAGGGAAGATGGCCCGCTGAGGAGCGCACCTCACTACAGCCAGCTTGCTCTCCAGGAGTATGTCGGCTCCCCCTGGTAATCCGCCCTGGGGATCGGGAAGTGATGGGGTTCCCAACAGGGCGCGCTCACAGGGGGCCTATTTTTCTCATATAAGAAGTTCAGTGGGGCCGGCTGGTGGCCCTCCCAGGACTCCCCTGCAGCCCGTCATTCCTAACATGCTGGCCTTCTGTCTACGTGCTCCTCCCCACGTGGTCACCAGTGCTGCCTGTATCATGAGGATTCAACTAGAGAAACAGAACCACTATGAGTGACAAAGAATGAAGATTCTTTTTTTTTTTTTTTGGAAGGTATGCTTTTGTTAGTGAGGAAGATTGGCCCTGAGCTCACATCTGTTGTCAATCTTCCTCTTTTTGCTTGAGGAAGATTGGCCCTGATTGCACATCTGTTGCCACTCTTCCTCTTTTTTTTTTTTTCCCCTCCCCAAAGCCCCAGTACATAGTTGTATATCTGAGTTGTAGGTCGCTGTGGTTCTTCTGTGTGGGATGCTGCCATAGCGTGGCTTGATGAGTGGTGTGTAGGTCCGCACCCAGGATCCAAACCAGGGAGCTCTATGCCACATAAGTGAGTGTGGGGACTTAACCATTCGGGAACATGGCCAGCCCAAGAGATTTATTATTAGGCACTAGACCTACGCTGTTCAATATGGTAGCCACTAGCTACATGTGGCTATTTAAATTTAAATGAATTAAAATGAAATGAATAAAAACTTAGCTTCTCAGTTGCACTAGGTACAGTTCAAGTGCCCAATAGCCACATGTGACTAGTGGTTATCATATTGGTCAGCTCATATATAAAACACTTTCATCAGCACAGAAATTCTGTTGGACAGTGCTGCATTAGACCTTACGTGATCATGGGAGCTGATGGAGGAGTCTGTGCAGGTCTATTTGCTGTCTTTGGTTCGAATGTGAGGCTGAGTCACCATAGGTCAGCCAGAAGTTCAGTCAGGGTAGAAAGCTGGATGTGCATGAGAGCAAAAACAGACTTGGAGCCTGCCAGGACAAACTGGAATTCATGAACAACTGGAATCCTCAAAGACAGTCTGGATCCACATGTGTCTCTCATTACCTTCAAACTCAGTAACACAGTTGTACTGCAAGAGAAGCTGCCCCTGTCACGGAGCTGCACCTGTTCTTGGGTTAGGACTTGGAGCAGCTGGAGTCTGGGTGTGGTCTCGTGCCAACAAGGTGTGCCAGCAGATCAGTGACAGTGTGCCAGAGTTACCCCCTTGCCTGGAGCCCCGCAGTGTCCTTCAGAGCATGGAAACCATGGCTGTTGCTTTGATCTGCCTTCCAGATCTCATGCAACATCTCTCTCATGGCCAACATTAACCTGAAACCATGCAGGATTCTGGAAAGGGGATCCTGCTTAGCTGAGCTGACACAGTACAAAGTCACCACACTGTCCCACAGGTCCAGGTGTCAAGTCTGCACTGAAGGCGGAGAGCAAGGGAGAGACAGCACCATGAGCTTGCTCTCTCCTGTGCCTGTTTCTTTCATTAGGAAAGCAAAAGGTTTTCTAGAAGCACTCCAATAGACTTCCCTTCATATCTCATTAGCCAGAACTTGGTAAAATGGCCTCCCCTTAGCTCCAGATGAGGCTGAGAAACAGGGTATTGAGCATTTCCAGCCTCTTCTAGAGCAGAGGCAGGCAAGGAGGAAGGGGCTGGGACTGGCATGGGTTAGTCAACTGACGGTGTCTGCTGAGATATGCACAGTGCGTTCCCCACCATCCCCTCCTTATGGCTGGAAGGAACGTTCAAGAACACCCACTCCAAGTCCTTCATTTGTGTTTGACAAAACTGAGGCATAGAAAGGTTGACTTACCCAAAGACACACAGAGTTAGTGCAATAAAGCTAGCAGTATGGGAGTCAGACCATCTTATTTACATCCCAGGCCCCTGTATATTGCACACATGGTCCATTTAAAGCCATAAAGGCACACATAACAAGATAACCATCCTCAGTGCTACACCAGAACTCATTGGCAAATCACTCAACACAATTCAGATGTCACTTTTTGCCTGACACATTGGTAAAGGTTGAAAAGATTGCACATACCCAGTATGACCAAAGATAGAAATGGGCCACCGTTGGTGGGAGTGCAACCTTTCTGGTGGGAAAAGTTTATTCATTATTAGAAATTTCAAATATGCTTCATCCCAGAAATAATGTTATAGAAATGTATTGCCCTAGGGAGACATTATTGACAAGTACACAAAGATGTTAGACACACACACACACACACACGGAGCAGAAAGAATGTTCATTATTGCAAGAATCTAGAACTAAATGTCCTTCCATAGAGGATTGGTTTAATAAATTTTGCTATACCTATGCAATGGAATATAGTCATTAAAAGGATGATGCATATCTGCATTTATTAATAATGGTCTTTACCACATACTGAGTTAAAAGCATGTATATTATTCCATTCATATAAAATTATATGTGTAATTATTTGCATAGAGCAACATCTAGAAGTATGATGAACAGCAGTTTCAATGGTAATTTCTCTGGGTAATACTTTCTTCTTTCTTTTCTAACTTTGTCAAGTTCCTCAAATCTTTTTTTTTAAAGATGAGCTAACATCTTTACAGACTAACATCTGTTGCCAAGCTTCTTTTTTTCCCCTTCTTCTTCTTCTCCCCAAAGGCCCCCAGTCATAGTTGTATATTCTAGTTGTCAGTCCATCTGGTTGTGCTCTGTGGGACGCTGCCTCAGCATGGCTTGATGAGTGGTGCCATGTCCACACCCAGGCTCTGAACCAGCGAAACCCTGAGCAAGTGAAACAGAGCGCAGAACTTAACCACTCAGCCACAGGGCCGCCCAAATACTGTCTTCTTTATGGTTGTCTGCTTTGGTTGATTTTTCTGTAAGTATGTATTACCTTTATATTAGGAAATTCAAGGAAGCTGCTTTTTGTTTAGAAATATTTAATCATTAGAGGAGACTGTCTTTTCTACTTGGCAGAAGGCAAGGAGTTAGGTGCTAATGTTTAAATTCCCTTCCAGGGCTGGCCTGGTGGCACAGCGGTTAAGTGCACTTGTTCCGCTTCAGTGGCCTGTGGTTTGCCAGTTCGGATCCTGGGGTCAGACATGGCACTGCTTGGCAAGCCATGCTGTGGTAGGCATCCCACATATAAAGTAGAGAAAGATGGGCATGGATGTTAGCTCAGGGCCAATCTTCCTCAGAGAAAAGAGGAGAATTGGCAGCAGTTAGCTCAGGGCTAATCTTCCACTAAAAAATAAATAAATAAATAAAGAAAAATAAATTCTCTTCCAGTTCTACATTTGGAATAGATGGTCTTGCCAGTTGCTTGATCCTGGTCAAGAAGATTGGAGATGCTATCCTTACATTTTTCACACGGGTTTTGCAACTGTCCTTCCTATTTGAAGACTGGAAATCATCACACATTGTGCACCATTTCTAATGAGATCATGCCCTGCCCCCTTCAAGTGACTGCTGTGACATTAGATTCTTGTCATCCCTTAGGGTCACTGCTTAACCCAGTTCTGACACAACTATCACCAAAAAGTCCCTCTCTCATAAAGGTGGTAACAAAAAGTCAAATGGTCAAAACCACAAAAGAGCAGTCAATAGAAACCAGCTTGGAGATACGTTCAAAGAATTCAGGGAAATTGTGAGTGGGCGGGTAGAGAATCTTAGTAGAGAAATGGAAACTATAAAAAAGAACCAAATGGAAATTCTAGAACTACAATTTACAGAACTTGGAGGTGGTAGAAGAAAGACTAGGCATATCGGGTCGCCTTTCCTTCCATGTCGTCATTGCTTCTGTGCTCGTGGGAAGTATTCTCACTCCTTCCACGCTGTGTGAGGCTGAGAGAACTCGGCTCCTGCTGCGCGCCCTGTTTCCACCCAAGAAGCGAAGCAGGGGTTTTCTATGCTCTCAGATTCCTCAAGCCTCTCTGAGATTTGGGGTACAGGCCACATTATCTAAGAAACCCACGTGTTGACATCTAAGCTCTCTTGTTCTCTTGCACTTCACTTTCCTCCTCTGCAGCCTATGGAACGAGCTGGGGGAAGTGGAGCAACTTTGCTCCTCATCGTCTCCTCTGGGTCTTCTTAGGCCTAGTGTTTCGAAAGTCATAAGCCAAGAATTGATGCCTGTGTTCCGTTGCATTGTCCTTTCTCTGAACCAGTCAGCACAGAACGCCCCAGCTGCTGCTAAAACTGGGGCAAGATCTGGAGTTTCAGGAAGTACTGGGCAAAAAATACATAGTAAACATGTCCAATTAG